CGCCCCCTGTTACACGGGGATTTGGCGTGCCGATTATTTTACTGTTTGGGGCCTTTTTTGCGAACACTTCAGCCTTCGGCCCAACCCCGCCGGCCCAACGTCGTGCCACATAGACGTCTCTAATAAGGCAGGCGGCGATGGTGGTTCGCCGCAGACGTCTTCTATAAATTTCGACTGAGGAGATAGCGCTGTGTATCAGCAGGCAACGAGTTGGGCATGAATTGGTCGTACAGTCCTCTTGATCATGGCTAAGGCTCTTCCTTCTTGGTCGTATCTCCGCAGACGGACAACAGCTTGCTTTTCGGTTCATAGCTAATCGAAGTCAATTTCCATTTGTTATCACCCCGCTTGTCCTGCACCTTCAAAATGCCACGGAACTTCTGGCCTAAGATATCCCTGCCCTCGCCTGCTGGCTTCGGAAACGAGCCGAATAGCCACATCTCGATGTCTCCTGGTCCGATTTTGCGCAGACATTCGTTCCACATGTCGGGGAATGATTCCTTGCCCTTGTCTCCTTTCTCAAATGTCGCCTCGTTATCGTACTGCCATCTCTCTAAATGGCAAAGCATCCCTGCACCCGTGCCCCTCCGATGCATAACTACCGCAACGCAAGAACCAAACTCCTCTGAGTACACCCGCTTGTCTTCACTGGAGAAAATATACATCTCACCGACCCCCACGTTGATGTCACCGCTCGCTTTGACATTGGTCGGCGCGGGCGTCAGGGAAGGGGAGGCGGCCGCCATTGAGAGCGCACGGAGCCCACCCAACAGTAGATCGCAATGGCTTGAGCCAAAGCCGTCCGAGCCGGAAAGTCTACGGACTCTCCGGGTTCAGCGCGCGCGGCCCCACGTTGTCCTCGTGCCCACGACCCCTACCCCCCCCTGCGGCCCCCTCCCCCCCTCCCTCGTGCTCCTCCCCCGCGCAGCCCTCCTCTGGGAGGAGGCCCAGGGCTCGGGGCTCGTTGGCTGCTCCTGGAGCTCGGGGGCCTCAGGAGCCCCGTTGCCGTGTCTCTGCGCGCTCGACTCACGTCCACGCTCAGGAACCTCCCCCTCCAGCGAGCAGCAGGAGGAGGAATGGGATCTCGCACCTCGAATTTTCACGGTACGTCACTCTTGGGAGCCTCGGGAGGCATCCGGAAGCCGCCAGGGGCCCTGGAGGGTGTCGGGAAGCCCTGGGCGGGGAAGGCACGAGAAGCAGATGCGGGTGTCGCAGCAGCGGCGGTGGGAGAGCGCAGTGCCTGCAGGCGTCGATAGTGGAAGGAAGGCTGCTCAGTAGCACAATTGGGCGCAGTGGGATGCTGGGTGACGCGGAGTCGACGCGTAGGAGGTAGGAAGAATGCACCCTTGCGGCTCTTTTTGGGCGCTTTTGGGATCCACTGGGGGCCCCTGGAGATTACAGAGCCCTCTAATAATCTCCTGGGGCCTTTAGAAGCCCCAAGAGGCTCCCAAGAAGCCTCAGGAGGCTCCCAAAAATCCCCAAGAGGCTTCTAGAAGACTCTCGACAGGCCCGATATTGGCCTCAACAGGCCCGAAGAGGATTCCATTAAACCCCAAAAATCGCCCAAGAGGCGCTCAGGAGTACCAGCCATCCACGAGATTCTAATCAGGATTCATGAGGTTCTGACCCACCACCCACGCACGATTGGCCAAAGATCTGTACAATGAAAGCAAATAAATGAACAATTGTTCAAATAAACGCACGTAAATGCGGAGAGGATGTGGGGAGGTGAGGCAGCGCAACTCGGGGCAGCCCCGGGAGCGCGAGGAAGGAGAAACTGCAGGAGGAGACGCGGTGCTAACGCTCAGTGGCTGAGCGCGCGCGCGCCGGCACTGGGCGGCCCATGGTCCGAGGAATCTTCGGGCGACGGCTCCAGGTCGACAGCCGTGCGCTTCGGGGGGGGCCTCTTGTCCACCGCTGGGATCTCGGGAAGCTGGAGGCGCGCCGCCGCGGCATCCTCAGTGGCAACCGCTGCCTCCGTGTCGGAGCCGCCGTCGTCGTAGGCGCGGTTCGCCTTGCTCTTCGCCTCCTGCTGCAGGCTCTCCTCGTCGTTGGCGTCCATCTTTTGGACATCTTTCGACAACTTCCACCAGAGCTTGCGCGGGCGCTTCTTCTCGGAGACGAGCATCTTCGAATCTCCTTCCTTCTGGAAGAGGTTATCTGGCGGGTCGTGCCAGCCCCGCGCCACTTGCGCGCGCAGCCAGTCCCAATCCCACGCGGGGAGACTGTCCCACTCGATTCCGTCAGCCAACACCCAGTGCCCCCTCCACTTCTGGTCGTCCTCCTTATACGGCTTCACCACCGACCCCATAGCGAGGGGCTCGACCGTGGGCAGGTGCTTGAGGACGTCGAGGGGCGCATCTCGCTGACGTCCATCTGCTTGGCCAGGATCGCCTCCCGGCACAGCGCCTTGAGGTCTTTGATGTCGCACTGCGGGTGGGCGGCCACGAAGTACCAGGCTTGTTGGGGGACGGCGTCGAAGTCGATCCATTCGACCAAGACGCTCCCCTTCCCAGGCGTGTACTTCGTCCCACACTGGCAGTGCCACGCTTGGCCAACTCCTTCCTGCTCGATCTCCTGATTGATCGTGAGCAATTGCGCCCACCTGTCAGTCCGGATCGCAGCCTTGCACCGCGCGTGCTGCTTTTTCTCCATGTCGTAGTCCGTCTTGCCGCCGCAACAGTAGTATGCGTTGAGCCCCGGCACCGCTCCCCAATCAACACCGTTGGCACTCATGTTGCCGGGCTCGAGCCTGTGCAGCCTGAAGAGAAGAGGAAGACGGATAATGGGAAAGGGATAACGAAGCGGCAGAGAAGGAGGAGATGTGGATCTGGCAATCGGCGTCCATCAGGAGGACGAGGAGGAGGAGGAGGAGGAGGAGAACGCCCCTTTCAGATTTTCTCTTGAGACCTGCGAAGTTCCTTGGAGGTCATCTGAGATTTCTGCAGGTCTCTGCAGGCACACGCATCCAAAGTTCTTGGAAATCCTACTTTCTATTGTCGTATTTTTTCTTGCTGTCTTCGTCGCCGTCGCCATTTTCGTCGCTGTCCCTGTCGTCGTCGTCGCCCCAGGCGCCTTCGCCCCGTCGGCGCGGCGGCGTTGTCCGATCGACTCGCGACCGCTGGGGGTCGCCTCCGTGGGGCCTGAGGTGTTTAGCAGGGTAACTACAACATAAGACGATTCGACATAGCGCGACATGGTTCAACATAACGTCGTCGTCGTCCTCGTCGTCTGGGCTTGTATCGTCAACGACAGCGTCATCGTCGGCCATGTTATCGCTCCCACTGTCATCCGGCTTGCATCGTCAACGACAGCGTCATCGTCGGCCATGTTATCGCTCCCGTTGTCATCCATGAGGGCATGCATCCGGAGACCTCGCCTGAAAGCTCTCTCTTTCTTGTGGTCTTCGCGCCATATCCCCCTCCTCCTCCTCCTCTTTCTCCTCCTCCTCCTTCTCCTCCTCCTCCTCCTCATCCCAATCCTCCTCCATCTCCTCCTCCTCCTCCTGCCTGCTCCTCCATCACCTCATGATCTTCATCTTGTTCTCGCTCTTCAATCAGGGCGCAATATAAAGGAGGCCAACCCTGTCTACCCCGCGCGCCCTGCCGCTGCGAGAGCACAGCGGCGCAACTCGGGGCAACCCCGGAAGCGTCCGCGAGGTGCGCGCAGACGCCGCGCATCAGAAAAAGCAATTTCGGCAAAGGGCCGTAACCAGATGGGGCCACTCCTCCTTACCCCGAAACCTCTGCTGCTACGAGGGATAACGACGGCGAAGATGGATGCGCCGAGCGCGCTAGCGGCGATGATGAAGATGATATTGATGAAATTTCGAATGCGAAGATGGCCGGCACGACGGGGTCGATGGTGCACGGCGTATCTGCGACAACTGTCTGAATTCACGGCGGGGAACCCGCTCTGCGCACATGTATGCAAATAAATTTCCTGGGTGAAAATTAATATGAATGCGGCACACGCAAAATCACGTGCCAGTGCAACATATGTAAATGAAAGGATATAAGAGGGCCAGGGCGTAACTCGGGGCAACCCCGGAAGCGCTCCTTCTCCCTCGGACGATGCACAGAGAGAGAGAGGAGGGAGAGAGAGAGAGAGAGAGAGAGAGAGAGAGAGAGAGAGAGAGAGAGAGAGAGAGAGAGAGAGAGAGCAGCTCAATGCATGGCGCTGATTATGAGCTAATGGAGCGCGAGTGCGCAGTGGCACCGCGGCTTCCGCTGGCATGGCGCGAGAGCTACACATCAACGCGCACCCTGAATATGACCCTGCGCGAGTGTGTTTCTTTTTGCGGTGTCTTTTGTGGTTCCCTGGTGAATCTCGTGGGGCCTTCTTGGATTTCCTTGGCGGCTCCTCGGGTATTCGGTTCGAAATCTCGGGAGCTCCCTTTAGCAAGGCTCCGGGGGCTCCGACAGGATCCCAGGAAGGTCTGAGAGATCTCCAAGAGAGCCCCCCCAAAGAGACACAAAGTATATGCAAGAGTGTACCTCTTTTTGGATGCGTTGGGCCTTCTTGGATTCCTGGTGAGCTCTTTGGGGGTTCGGAAAATCTCGGGAACTCTCTGAAACAGGTTCCAGGGGGCTCCGAAAGGGACCCAGCAGGGCTCCTTGAGGGCACCCTCAGAGATACAAAGTATATGCGCCTGTGTGACTCTTTTCGGGTGCCTTTTGGGATCCACTGGGGGTCCCTGGAGATTAGCGAGCCCTCTAATAATCTCCTGTGGCCTCAAGAACCCCCAAAAGGCGCCCAAGAAACCTCAAGAGCTCCCACAAACCCCCAAGAGGCTCCCAGAAAACTCCCAACAGGCCCGATACTGACCTCAAGAGGCCCCAAGAGGATTCCATTAAATCCCAAAAGACGCCCAAGAGGCGCTCAGAAATATCAGCCATCCACGAGATCCCAACCATCCATGAGGTTCTGATGCGCGGAGGTCGGCTGACGGCCAGAATGCGCCCGGGTCCAAGGCGCCCCCTCATCACTCAAATTCGCTCGTGTTGACTCGCAAGCGCTTGCGCTCCTCCGTGGCGTCGGCGTCCGCCAAGATGGCCTCGAGCTTGCGCTTCTTGAACGTGCCCTCGCCCTTGGGGTTGACCGTGCGCTTGCCTCGAGGGCGCACTGAACCCCCGTCGCCCGTCGAGAGCCCGGGCGCTCGGTCTGCATGTGACTCGGGCTCTCCCGCCAAGGGCCCGTGGAAATTTGCAGGGCGACTGCGGGCGACTGGGCCCACTGCCGAGAATTCATGCCCGGGCCCACCCAACCAGGAATGAAGAAGGGAAACCGAACGGGGCCACCCATGTCTACCCCGAGCCCCCGGGCGCGGCAGTGCCAATTCGCTAGAAAACAACGCTCAGGCCGCCTGGCGCCGCCTCGGCCCTCGAGGTGGACTCCCCCGCGTCGGCGACACCAGCGACCCTGTCGACGAGATGCGCCGCGACCAGCGCCGCCAGGCCGTCGGATATCTTCTGGGCCAGGTCCGTCCTGTACCACGAATCCCTCTTGTTTCGGAGCCACTGCCTCGCGTCCGCCGCGGTGAAAGTCTGCCCCTTGGGGGCGCGGATGAGCAAAAATTGCCGCATCAGCTCGGACGGCGTGAGACCCTTCACCGCGGCCTCCGCGACGTCGGGAGCTGCCAGAACGGCCGCCGAACATCCGCCAACGCCCCTGCAGTCGGCACCAGAGCGATGATTGCCCTCGGCGGCTGCGGCCTTCTGGGCTGCGTGGAAACGGTACAGCCCGAAATGAAGTTCAATTTGGCGCAGCACCTTGTGGAGGCCCATCGTGACGTCGTCGACACTGGGGAGGCGACGCCAGCGAGCGGCATCGAGGGGCGGAAGCGGCGGCAGGGCGCCGCCGCCGCCCTGGGCGGCATGCTGGGCGATGCAGTCCCTGGCGAACTGGGCCCCGCGGTGCACCCGGTGCGTTCCGCGAAGCAAATCGCTGTGAAAGAAATTCAACTTCGCCTTGAACACCTGCGGCATCGGCACGGTCTGACAGATGTCATCCAGAGCCTGCTTCGCAGCACGGTATATGGTGTAGGCGTAGCCGTCGAGCGAGAGCGCGCTGGCGACAGCGGAACAATGCGCGTGCATCCATCCGTGCAGCCGCTCGATGAATGAGTCGCTCTGTTCGAAATCGACCCCGTCGTCTGCGCGCGCGTCCTGGAGGGTCCCGCCAAGACCCGCTGCACTCGGAAACAGCCACGAGAGTCGGGCACGACCAAGATGAGGCCAGAAGAAGCGGGCCAAAAAGAAGCGAACTTGAGGACTCAGGCCGAATATGGGCCAGAAGATGTTAGCTTGAGGAGTGAGGCCGAGTGTTCGGCGGCGTGGTAGGGAGGATGACGACATGTGATGGGCCCAGGGTTCACCCGCTGTCATGGAGGACCCACACCGTCTGCATGCGCTTCTGGAACCCGTGCACTATCGGCATGGCGATAAACTCGACGACCTCCGTCTGGCCCGAGCACTTGAGCATGAAATTGTAGTTGTCCAAAGACACCTTGCCGTTGCCGGTCGCCGGTCCGTCGTACTCGCTCTGCGTCCACGTGTTAAGCTTCGCGCAGCTGAGATACTGCACCCCGGACTCCTGGTCGCTGAAGGGCGTCAGGAACGTGTTGGCGGCCTCGTCGCTGGAAATGCCGCACCGCCTGTGTTCTTCGAGTTGCTTCCGAATGCCCTCCGTGGTGCAGTCCGTGCCCATAACCAACTTGTCTTTGAAAACAGGGGAGGCCTCCGGGACCTGCGTCAACCATTTATCCGTGCACTGCATCAAAGGTGACTTCCGCGTGGAGGACGCACTGCCAATCAAGAGGGGCTGGCCAGGGGAAATGTAATGGCCTGACGACGGCAAGTGCGTGAGCGTGGTTCCAGGCGCCTCGATGAAACCCATGTTGCACTCGACAGCGGCGAGCAGCGCTTCCGCGGACAGACCCCGGGCCTTGCCTGCGGCGTGGACGGCGTCCGCCAACAGCTTCGGCGCGATGGTGCGCAAATCGAAATCAAGCTCGCTGGCAATCTGGCGGTGGGGCCGGGTGTCCTCCCACGCCCTCATGACCCTGTGGCGCACTGTCTCGTACACCTCCTCCTTCGTTTTAAATCCCTCGAAGACGATATCGGGGAACAAGAACTCTTCGATCGCTTTCGATGCCTCGTCCTCCGGGAGCTCTTCGACTATAGCCTGCAATGCGGCAAGACTCTCGCCCGTGGGGTCTGGGGCGCGAAAGCTGGCACTCTCTGCAAGAGAATCCTCGAATCGCGCCCCATTCCTGAAGGAGGTGAATGACACAGGCGACGTCTTCTCCGCAGAAACTGGCGACTCAGGCGGGGGCTGAGAGGCGAGCTCGGGTCTCTTCCGAGATCCGTCAACGATTAGACCTGGGCCGGCTGGTGAGCCCGCGGGGGAAGGGGGGCTCGGGGCAACCCCGGCACCGCCCCCCCCAGGTGCCGCCGACGCGCCGCCCGGCGCGAGCAGCAGAACGCCCCGGAAATGCAGGAGGACGAGGAGCGCGTGGAAGTAGCAGTCGCCCCCGTCGCGGACGCGCGACTCCAACACGAGATCGCCGCTGCGACCAGCGACGGACGCCACCACGTCGGCCCACTTCGGTGACGGGCACGGGGGCAACTGGCCATGCTCGTCGACGTGAAGCAGCGGCAAGAAGTGACACCCATCCTCCGCGGACTCGTAATCGTTCTCCAACCCGCCGTGGACCAGGACAGCGTCTTCCCTCGGGTCGGGAACGGTGAAATCTGAATCGCGGAAGTGGGCGGCAGACACGGACGCGACTTGGGATGGCAGCGGCCGGGGCCCGGGGGCCAACCGAGACTGGAGACAATCCCTCATGTCATCCCACGCCGCGGAATCGCCCCATACGACGGCACGACGCGCCACGGCAGAACTGACCTCGGCGGCGCGAAGTGTCTCGTCGCCGCGGGCGTCGGCGAGGCACGCCCGCAGAGCGGCGATGCCCTGCTCCTGCGCCAACCCGCACAGGGCGACCTCGCGGAACATGGCGGTGGAGTCCATCTGCAACTGTCGAAACTCCTACCCGACGAGCCCCCCGGCGCGGGCAATCCTCGAACCAGGCGCTATCGCGCGGGACAACCACGGATGCCGCCGAGGGAAGGCAGCTAACTTGAGGGGTGGGTCCCGAGGAGGAGGCGGAGGAGGAGGGGGAGAGGAGGGGGGCAAGGGAGAGGAGAAGAAGGAGGAGGGAGAAGAAGGAGGAGGGAGAAGAAGGAGGAGGGAGAAGAAGGAGGAGGGGAAGGGGAAGCTTAAAGCCGTCAGAAACCTATAGATGTATTTACACACACAAATGCCGCAACGCATTCAGATATGGCGCGTGGCGACCCTCACTCTGACCTCACATCGCGCTCTTCTTGCCGTCGATATAGTCGATGGCGTCCTGATGGCCCTTCGCTTTCTTCACGTCATCGGTGCCGTCTTTGTTCACGGACTGCTCTGCCATTCCTTTAAGTTGCACGCGTTTCCTTCTCGCTTCGTGGTACTCCTCCTTCGCCTGCTTCTTGTACTTCGCATCGCCGGGGCAAGCGGCGTGTCCGGCCACCGCGTCGAACGCCCTCGTGGTCTTGTTCCACCTCTTGCCGGCCTGCTCCATGAGACCGTCGCCTGCCGCCTCCAGCTTGTGCGCCTCCTGGTTCGACATGCCACCCGCAGCGCCGCCCTCCCAGAGCCGCGCCCTTGCGGAGCTGCGGGGGCAGTCCGAGCGCCCGGGCCCCGGCCTGCGACGGCCCGAGCCCAGATGGCCACAACGGCCACGGAGGGGCGGCGGCCCCCCCCTTGCCCGCCTCGGGCGGCGAGGGGAGGGCCATCCCCACGCGGCCCTGGCCCGCCAAGAGTGCGGGGAGGCCCACGGATCGCCCGCGACGCCTCCGTTGCCCCCCCAAAAAAAACCCACTGGGCCGACGTCGAGGAGTAGGGCGGCACCGAGAGCGGGAGCGGCATCGCCCGGAGGAGGAAGAGGAGGAGGCGAGGACAAGAACGACGACGGCGGGGACGACCTGCAGGGAGTCGAGGCCACGGGAGCTCTCGACCATGCGGCAGTCCAAGGGGCCGCTGACAGGCTGGAACTGTTGGACACAGAACCCAAAAGGAAACTTGTGGAGTGCCAAATCGAAACAACGATCACAACATCCTCCAACAAAGGCTCCAACTGCAATTCCAACAAGGGAGCTCCGGCGGGCCCAGGCGGGGTTGAATTCGAGGTTAACCGAAAGCATTTTGAGACCGACGACGAATCGTGATTGCTTTTTTATTTCCATTGTTTCTTCTGTATATCGTTGTGTGGATTATCACCTTCGGGGCGCTTTTAATAAGCAAATATGAGTGTGCGATTCGCCGCTGTAGTTGTTTGCTTTCATTGAATTTTGTTCCCACCAGAATATTGTCTCCTGCGTCTTGGGGATGCCCAAAGCCCCCCATGCCCCCTGGGGCCCGTCCACGGCGGGATGTCTCTGGTGGCTATTTCCAGAGCCCACCAGGGCACGTCCTCGCCGCGCGGCGGAAGATGTACCTTTGGGAGAGGGGCGCAGGCTAAGCGGAGCACCGATCCCGACCCCGAGCCCCTGGTGAAACGGTTGCACGGTTGCCGGGGACGCAACTCAGGGGGAACAGGGGCAACGGCCGCGGGGATCGCGCAGTCGCTGCGAGGCGGAGGGCGAATACTCGGCAGATGGCGCAAGGGCGCGTCTCGGGGCAACCCCGGAACCGCCGCGCGGCGGTGGGCATATCTTAGGCAGATGAGTCGCCACTGACAGGCGGCCACCCCTCTCGACCCCGACCCCGCCGCCGCTACGAGGCCACGGCTCCCCTGGGAGGCAGCTAGAGGCAGCCAAAGGAAACCTCAATTCGATATACCCCTCACGCGCGTCATATCTCGGGCCCTCAACTGACCCCTCGGATGGCCTAACTGAGCTTGAACTCGAAACCACCCTCACCCAAGGTCATCAGCTAAACCCCAAGACCGCTCAACCCCCAAGGGATGATTGGTACCGAGCCCCTTCGAAGCCGCACCCCCGAACACCAACTGAATCCAAAATCTGCGTGCGAGTTTTCCCTGCGGAGACCCGCCATGATTCCCGCTCTGCGGGCTCAATAAATTCAAATAAATGCCACAAGGAACAAATAAATACACTTAAATGCGGAAGTCGCTCGCCACAGAAATGCTACGACAGCAAATTAAACATATGCGAAGGCAAAGACCCAACTCGGGGCAACCCCGGAAACGTCGCGCCTTGACCCTCAGCCGAGGCCCCGCTGACAGAGGGGCCCGCGCCATTACATCAGACGAGCAAAATCCGCCACTGTGCCTCGAGACACGAGTTCGGGGCTCCTCGATTGCTCCTTGACGGCCCCAGCGGCCCCCATGAGCGCCCGAAGATGACCAAAAAAAACCAAACAACCGATATTGCTCCAACGGGGCCCCAAGGCACCCCCAAAACGGCCCCATTGCGGCACCCGGAATGTCCCGAGAAGATCCGGGACCCCCAAGACATCCGAAGAGTCCCCCACGGCCCCCGGTGACACACCGCGAGCCCCAGCGGCCCCCATGAGCGCCCGAAGACGGCTCCAAATGGATGAGTGTATATATATATATATATATATATAACAAACGGAGCCCCAACGGAGCCCCAGGGCAACCACAAAACGGCCCCATTGCGCCACCCAGGATGCCCCGCGAAGATCTTGGACGCCCAACACATCCGAAGAGTCCCCCACGGCCCCCCGTGACACACCGTGACGCCCCCGCAGGAAGCCTCGCGCCCGCGACCCAGGCCGGCCAGGGGGCAGATTGGGCCGAAGGCTCTCGGGGATCCGCTTGGTCAGAGTGCTCTTACCGCAGCGGCGCGCCGATTCGACGCCCTGGGAAATGAACGCGTCGAGGAAGTGGAACGTGAAACACCGCATATCCCTGAAAGCTGCCGCAGGCACGCGAATCTTCTCACTTTTCTCGGCCGAGATGAACTTCCTGAAGAAGAAATCGGACAGCTCGTCGCAACCAACCCAGTCGACCGGCGCATCGCCGTCGTAAACACTCCCCGCGAGCTTCGCAAGGTCATCCAGGACGTTGGCAAGCCTGCGCTTCCGCTTGCTGGCCACGAACGTCTTCGTCTGGATAGAGGCTGACATCCGGACGGCCAGCGCAGTCACGGACATCTTCTTCACGCGGTCTTCATTCGCCCACTCGGCCACAGCGAAAGCGTCGCTCACCAGAGCGCGCAGGACGTACTCGAGGTGCTCGTGGACGGCACCCACGGCCTCATCGGTGATTTTCAGCGGCGCGCCTTCTGCGTGGCCGGACCCCTTCGCCGACAACAGCGGCAGCAGGGCGCGGATGATCCGCGCCACTTTGGCGCGCGGGATCAGGAGTGGGGCGTCCGCCAACGGGTTCTCCTCCGTCTCCGCCTCCTCCGCCGCCGGCTCGGCGGGCAGGGCCGCCGACGCCGCGCCATCGACCGCCGCCTGGCGGTGCCAGCGGATTAGGTGGTAGACAAGTGCAGGCTTCTTCTCCCGGATCACGTCCCGGTGCAACATGGCAGCCTGGCCGATTTGTCTCAGCGCCCCGATTGACATTGTGAGCAGCGTCGCGTGCATGCCCCGGAAGTCCACGACGCGGTCGAACAGCTTCTGCTTGTCGCCCAGTGCTGCCTCCACCACCTCGTTCCAGACGAGGCCTCCGCGCCGCGACAGGAAGGAGCTCGCCAGCCTCCACTTCGCCTGCTCTTCTTCCGCGCCGATGCCCTGGCCGACGAGCACGCGGCCCTGCCCCTGGAAGGTAGCGATATGGGAGGAGGGAACGACGATTTTGGAGCCCACTTGGGGGAACCACTTGGGCCCGCTTGGGGGAACCCCCGCCCGCGGACGAGGCCAGCGATTTTCCAGCCATGCCGCATGAAGAAACCCAAAATCCCGTCTACCCTCTGGGCGCAGGTGGCCCAACCGCCCTCCCGCCTCCTGGTCCTCCGCGTCGTCCTGGGCGCCCGCGCGCTCGGGGGAAAACGCGCGCAGCACCGTGCCCCCTTGCGCGCCCTCCACCTCGCGCCGCCATTCGGTGCGGTTCTCTACGATGCCACCGAGGTGCAACACCAGCACTTCCGTGCACCCGCCGAACAGCCGGCCCCACTCCTCCGTACCTCGGTCGGGCAAGCACACGTCGGCCAAGTCGGCCACCTTGATCACCTCCTTGTTGACGATCTCGAACACCGCCTCCGGCCTGAACTTCTCGCGGCCGGCCCTCATCCTCACGCGGGTGACGTGCCAGTCCCGCCCACCCTGGAGGAACCGACGTCGCCAGTAATCGGTCTTCAACCCGCGGTACTCCTTAGTCTTGATGCCCTTCACTGCCATCTCCAAATGCTGCGAATCTACTATCATATGCTGCGTCATTGCCCTCGCGGGCAGCCCCGCGGGCGGGCCGTCAGCAACTGGGGGGGGAATTGGGCTCGGGGCATCCCCGGCACCGTCTCCCCCCCGAACCACGGGCGGCAGGTCCGCCGATCTCGCGGGCGGGCCATCAGCGACTGGGGGGGGAATTGGGCTCGGGGCATCCCCAGCACCGTCTCCCCCCGTGACCACGGGCGGCAGGTCCGCCGATCTCGCGGGCGGGCCATCAGCGACTGGGGGGGGAATTGGGCTCGGGACATCCCCGGCACCGCCTCCCCCTCGGACCGCGGGCGGCGGGTCCGCCGATCTCGACAACGCAGCGCCATCGGGAGCCGCCATCGGGCGCGACTGCGGGGCTCTTGGCGAGGGCACCCCGGGCGCCAGGGCAGGCGCGCCACGGCCGTCGGCAGCGCCAGGTTGACCGTCGGCGCCCAAGACTGAGACGAGCTCCTTGCCCGAAGTGCTCCGCAACGTCACCCGGCCGACTTTGTCTCCGATCCTCACGTGCACCCGCATCACCGGGCCCTCCATCCGAGGCACGGCGAGGCCCTCGAGACGGCCCCCCACTTGGAGGCGCTTCGCGACTTCCGAGGAGAGGTCTGGGGATTCGGACAGAATGGTAGCGACCACGCACTGCCATACCGTCTTTTCGCCACTCCCCCCCGCAACGTCGCCCTCTTCGGACGCCTGGGCCACGCCTCCCGCGCCCGCGGCACCAGCGCAGGCGGCGCCCTCGAGGGGCCTGGCCGCGCTGGCGGCGGCAGCGCCGACGCCCTGCTCCGCAGCGCCCCCTGCGCCCGCGGCGCCCTCGGTGCAACCGCCCGTGGCGACGCCGGCCTTTCTCTCCTCCGCGAGCGCCAACCCTTCCGGCACATCTTGCCTGCACGCAGGGCAAATCAGGCCGAGCGCGTCCACCTTGGACCAACTTGAAACGAGGCAGTCGGAGCAGAACGAATGCCTGCAAGGTAGGTGGCGGCACGGGACATCCTCCATGCAAATCCTACAATTCGCGGGCGCCAGATCGCCGGGGCGTCCGCCCTTGCACCGCTCGAGCACGCTGTTGATATAGTCCATATCCCGGGCGCTGCGGGACACGCTCGCGCCCAGTCCGGACAGCAATTCGTAATCCTCAGGGACGATACGCCGATACTGCAGATCCTCGACAGCCTTCTTGTCATGATCTGAGAGCACCTCCATTAGCAGCTCGTAGTGGGCTGGGTAGCGTTGTCGAGTGCGGCACGCGCTTGCTAGGGCGCCCTGCGCTGCCCTTCGAGACATGATGACTGCGGACATGACGACAGCGGAGCTGGAAGCGGAACAAAAGCAAGAGGTGGAGCAGGAATAGGAATAGGAGTCAACCAAGACGACTCGATCGTGCCACCAGACTGGCCCCCCCAAGGCCCCGGGCCCTCGGGGGTGCACATGGCGCGCCAAAAGCGGCCACCCCCCTCACGCTGGACCCTCCGCCGCAACATCGAGGGGCCGCCCCCCTCTACCCCGAGCCCCCCGCCGACGTGTTGGATGGCGACGGCGGAGATCATGCGCCGACGACGGGGCGGCGACGATGATGGTGACATTGATAGCCGACGCCGCTGGCGACCGCCTCTGTTCCCTCCCATGGCAAGGGCAATCCGCGCCACTCTTTCCCCCAGGTACAACACGGTGTCCTCACCCCAAAAGCCGCCCCAGGAGAGCGCGATGCACGCACTTAAGCGCGGCATGCTTTAAACGCGGGTGACAGCAGAAAATGCAACTTCGCGCGCCCCGATCGCACGAAGCAGCACGGCTGATGCGTGTTGGAGGGGAGGAAGCGAGGGAACTTCAATGAGTCGAGGAGGGGAGAAGTAGATTAGCAAGAGCCGCCGAAGCCGATTTCAGGGCAGACCAGATGATGCCCGCAGCTTAGCTGAGGTCACTGAAAGACTGAGCCGACACAGCCGATCGCGGGGCAACCCCGGCCACCGACCTATACGCTCTTTGCAAGCCGGTGTGCCCAATCACCAGCGCGACGAGAATGCAGTCTGCGCTGGGAGAGAAGCGTAGCAGTCACCTGACGACCCCTCTCGGTGTGCGAATTTGCCGCCCCCATCACTCGAACTCGCTCGTGCTCGCCCGCAGGCGCTTCCGTTCCTCCGTGGCATCTGCGTCCGCAACGATCTCCTCGAGCTTCCGCTTCTTGAACATGCCCTTGCCCTTGGGGTTGCCCTTGCGCTTGCCTCGTGGGCTCGCTGAACGACCATCGAAAGCCCGGGCACTCCGGTCTGAATGAGGCCTGGATTTCCCACTGCGAAACCAAAAGAATCTCGGGGGCAACACAGGGAACTATCCACTGATTCCAGGGAAACTGCCGACGATTGATGCCTGGGCCCCACTGGCCCGGAGTGACGGGGGAGAGCGACGGGAGCCCCTGGACGCGGCAGTGCCAACTCGCTAGACCACGACGCTCCAGACCCCAGCCGCCTTGCGCCGCCTTGGCCCTCTGCGTGGAGCCCCCCGCATCGGCGGAGTCCGCGACCCTGTCCAGGAGATTAGCCGCGACCAGCGCTGTCAAGCCGTCGGAGATCTTCTTTGCCAGGTCCGTTCTGAACCACGTGTCCCTCTTTTTCCTGAGCCACTGCCTCGCATCCGCCTCCGTGAAAATCTGCCCCTTGGGAGCGCGAGTGAGCAGGAACTGCCGCATCAGCTCGGACGGCATGAGGGCCCTCATCGCTATCTCCGCGACGTCAGGAGCGGCCAGCACGGCCGCCGAAGATCCGCCTGCGCACCTGCCGTCGCCGCCGGAGCGATGGTTGCCCTCGGCAGCGTGGGCGACGTGGAAGCGATGCAACCCGAAGTGAAGTTCAATTTGGCGGAGAACCTTGCGGAGCCCCATCGCGATGTCGTTCACACTGGGAAGACAACGTTCGCAAGCAGAATCAAAAGGCGGTTGCGACGCCAGGGCGTCGTCGCCCTGGGCAGCATGCCGGGCGATGAAAAGCCTGGCGAACTGGTTCCCGCGGTGCACCCGGTGCGTTGCGCGAAGCAAGTCGCTGTGAAAGAAATTCAACTTCGTCTTGAATGCCGGCGGCATTGGCACGGTCTGACAGATATCATCAAAAGCCTGCTTCGCAGCACGGTATATGGTGTAGGCGAAGCCGTCGAGCGAGAGAACGCTGGCGACATCAGAACACTGCTCGTGCATCCACCCGTGCAGACGCTCGATGAAGGAGTCGCTCTGTTCGGAATCGACCCCGTCGTCCGCGCGCACGTCCTGGAGGGCCCCGCAGGAGCCGCTTCGCATAGGAACAACATCGATCCGAAGAGGGCCGGTCTCCCCCAAAACGCCAGGGGAGCCCTCGAGCTCCAAGCCACTCGAGAACAGCCCCGAGAATGGGACACGACCAGGACGGGACCAAAGGAAAAGATTGGGAGGGGCCAGAACCTGTGGGCTCGGGGAGCGAGGCCAAGAGACACGCGGCGGAAAATCGCAACCAAGCTCGGGATGGCGAAATATGATGGGCCCAGGGTTGACCCGCTGTCGTGGAGAACCCACACCGTCTGCATGCGCTTCTGGAACCCGTGCACTTTCGGCATGACGATAAACTCGACGACCTCTGTCTGGCCCGCGCACTTGAGCATGAAATTGTAATTGTCCAAAGACACCTTGCCGTTGCCAGTCGCCGGTCCGTCGTGCTCGCCCTGCGTCCACGTGTTAAGCTTCGCGCAGCTGAGATAGTGCACCCCGGACTCCACGTCGCTGAAGGGCGTCTGGAACGTGTTTGCGGCCTCGTCGCCGGAGATGCCGCACCGGCCGTGTTCTTCAAGCTGCTTCCGAATGCTCTTCGTGGTGCAGTCCGTGTTCATGACCAACTTGTCTTTGAAAACAGGGGAGGCCTCCGGGACCTGCGTCAACCACTTGTCCGTGCACTGCATCAAGGCCGACTTCCGCGTGGAGGACGCGCTGCCGATCAAGAGGGGCTGGCCAGGGGAAATGTAATGACCTGACTGCCGCAAGTGCGTCAGCTTTGTTCCGGGCGCCTCGATGAAACCCATGTTGCGCTCCACGGCAGAGAGCAGCGCCTCCGCAGAGAGACCCCGGGCCTTTGCTGCGGTGTGCACGGCGTCCGCCAACAGCTTCGGCGCGATGGTGCGCAAATCGAAATCCAACTCGCTGGCAATCTGGCGGTGAGACCGGGTGTCCTCCCACGCCTTCATGACCCTCTGGCGCACTGTCTCGTAAACCTCCTCCTTCGTCTTAAAACCCTCGAAGACGATGTCAGGAAACAGGAACTCTTCGATCGCGTTCGATGCCTCGTCCTCTGGGAGCCCTTCGACTTTGGCCTGCACTGCGGCGACGCTCTCGCCCGCGGGGTCCGGGGCGCGAAGACTGGCACTCGCTGCAAAGGAGTCCTCAAACCGCGCACCATTCCTGAAGGAGGTGAACTGTGTGCTCGGCAGAGAGACCTGAGTCGCAGGTGACGCTTGCTCCGCGGGAATGGGCGACTCTGGCGGGGGCTGAGAGTCGGGCTCGGGGCTCTTCCGAGGCGTCGCAGGGGGGCGCAACCCCGCGAGCGGGCCGTCAGCGATTGGGACTGGACCGGCTGGTGAGCTCGAGGGAGGAGGTGGGCTCGGGGCAGCCCCGGCACCACCTCCCCCCGGGGCCGCGGACACGCCGCTCGGCGCGAGCATGAGCACGCCCCGGAAATGCAGGAGGACGAGAAGCGCGTAGAAGTAGCAGTCGCCCCCGTCACGGACGCGCGACTCCAGCGCGAGATCACCACTGCGAGCGGCGACGGCCGCCACCATGTCGGCCCATTTCGGTGACGAGCACGGGGGCAACAGGCGGTACTCGTCGACATGGAGCAGCGGCAAGAAGTGGCACCCATCCTCCGCGGACCCGTACCCGTTGTCCAGCCCACCATGGACAATGACAGCGTCCTCCTTGGGGTCGGGAGCGATGAAATCTGCGTCGCGGAAATGGGCAGCACAGACGGCGATGACTTCAGATGGCAACGGCCGAGAGCCGGGGGCCAAGCGAGTCTGGAGAACAACCTTTATATCACCCCACGCCGAGGAATCGCCCCACACGACAGCACGACGTGCCATGGCAGAAGTGATCTCGGTGAAGCGAAGTGTCTCATCGCCGCGAGCGTCGGCGAGGCACGCCCGTAGAGCGGCGATGCCCTGCTCCTGCGCCAACCCGCACAGGGCGACCTCGCGAAACATTGCGGTGGAGTCCATCTGCAACTTTCGAATCTCCTACCCGACAGGACCCCCAGCGCGCAACTCTCGAACCCAACGCTACCGCGCAGCTGAGTTGAGGCGCACAGCCGCCGCGCGGCACTCGAAGGGGCCACCCCTCTCCACACCAAGCCCCAACGGGCCCTGTCCGCAGCGGGAGGTGTCCCATGGAGCATCTGGCCCCGATTCCCCACGGGAGACCATCCGCCGCAGACAGAGCTCACGGGGAGCCCCCCGACGGACCCTGTCCGCGGCGGGGGGGTCTCCAATGGAGAATCTGGCCCCGATTCCCCACGGGAAACCATCCGCCGCGGACGAAGCCCGACACCATGTCAAACGGGACCTCCCAGGGCGGGTTTTCGAAGCCCCGACACCATGCCAAACGGGACCTCCCGGGACCATCACTACCCAAAACTGCAAACAAAAAACAATAG